GCTCATATACTGATTTCAGCCTAGCTCTAGCTGTCAACACCTGACTGAAATAGGCAATCAGTCGGCGAAGACCTGAGTGAAGCATCTATCTCCAATACGAAGACCTGAGTGAAGTCTGGTAAGGCTAAGAATGACACTGTAGTCATAGCTCTCTTCAGCCTCTCAAAGGCTGCTATGGTGTCCTCGCCCCATAGGAAGCCATCCTTCTTTAGTTGTTCTGTTAGTGGTCATGCTATAGTGATGTACCCTTTTACGAATCTCCTGTAGTACCCCATTAGTCCTAAGAACCCTCTCAGCTCCTTCAGGTTTTTTGATAATGGCCATCTCAATATAGCCTCAATCTTTAACTGATCAACTGCCACCCCCTCCTTGGACACAATATGATCCAAATACTCCACACTCATCTGAGCAAAGCAACACTTCTTCTAGTTGGCCCTCAGCTGATGCTCCTGTAACAACTCTAACACACCCTCCTCAAATGCTCCCAGTGCTCCTCCTCTGTCCTGCTATAAACTAGGATATTGTCAAAAAATACAAGACAAACCACCAAAGATAAGGTTTGAAGACCTTATTTATAAGTGGCTAGAATGTAGCTGGAGCGTTAGTGAGGCTAGAAGACATCACTAGGAACTCATAATGCCCATTGTGAGTCCTGAAAGTAGTTTTTTTGGCACATATTCCTTCTTGATTCTAATTTGATAATATATTGATTTTAGATTTATCTTGGTGAAAATCACCATCTCAATCAATTCATCCAGTAATTCATCAATCACTGGTATATAAAACTTGAATGGCACACTTTCCTTGTTGATCGCCATGTAGTCCACATAAATCCTCCAGTTGTCGTCTTTTTTCTTCACTAGTAATACAGGATTGGAAATAGGACTGATACTGGGTCCCGAGAATACCTTCTTCCAGCATTTCTTTGATCAGCTTTTCAATCTCATCATTTTGAGATTGAGGATATCGGTAGGGCCTAATGTTGATGGGTGACACACCCTCCCTTAGAGTGATAGCATGCTCCTGCTCCCGCGGTGATGGCAATCCTTGAGGCTGTTGAAAAACCTCATGGAATTGCTGTATCAATGGTTGTATGGAGAGGGGGATCTCCCCTCCCTCCTCAAATCAAACTCCTTCCAACCCGTACAGCTCCACCAAATAGCCTTCCCCCACCTCTTTGATATTCCTTACCATGGTTTTGACAACATGGATCGGGTTAATCCTGCATCTCCTCTGATCATCACCTTCCTTCCATCCACTATCAACTCCATCGTGAGGGATCCCCAATTGACCTTGGTGTCTCCTAAGGTTTGCAGCCACTTCATCCTTAGGATGACATCTTAACTCCAGTAGGAGAAAGTCCTCCATCTCCTGAATTCCCTGGATGGTCAACACCATTCATCTACAGATCCGATGGCCTTTCATTACCTTCCTAGTGCCCATCATCTCCCCATAACAATTGATATCCACCAATTTCACTCCTAGTTGGTCGACGACCTGAGTGGAAAGAAATTTTTTGGTAGCCTCACTATCAATCAAAACCACCACCTCCTTGCCCTCTATCACCTCCTTCACCTTCATGGTATGATTCATAGTGAATCCTACCACTGAGTTTAGGAAAATCTCTGCCAGATCTAAATGCAGTTTCTCCTCTAACTTCCCTTCACCTCCCTCATCAGTTTTCTCGTCATCACAGATGATGAGAACCTGAAGAGTTTGGTCCCTATACTTATGTCCTAGATGTTTTTTGAATTAATAATGATGGCATTGGTGAACTAAACTTATACAACTTACCTCCTTGATGAGTGATCTCTTTCAAACCTACGCCACATAACCTTCTCCTTTGATATACTAATCCAAAACCTTCTTTCTGCATATAGTCATGTAACTCCTACACTTTGAAATAAGTCAAGACTAATGTTAAAGATGATCTTATGATATTTTACAAGGTAAGTTTAGTTAAAGATGATTTTAATGATTTGATAAATTACAATTATTGTATTTTAATTATTAATTAATTTGCATAGCTTACTGAGCCTCATTACTCATCAGTATTTTCTTACTGGCTGTTGTTACAGGAAAAGAAAAAAAAAATATCGGAGATGACTAATTGCAAGCACTTAAATGTTTCATATTAGTTTTAAATATATTTGTAAGACTAAGTTTAAGTAAGGTATGTGAACCTTCTAATGAAGTGTTACTTTAGATTTATGTAGAAGCTCTGTAAGTATCTTATGTTGAAACTTAAAGTTATTAGTTGCTTTCATTTTATGGGATGTATAAGAACTGAACTGTGAGATGTTTTATAAACATTATCAAATGTGTTAAAGTAAATGAAAAGTCTATGTTAGTAATACTCATGTATTGTTAAGGGGTACTATGGGGTGTTACACTCCTATTGCAGGACCCTTGGGTGCTAAGTGGGTGGTCATCATCCTGTAAGTGTCTCCTGAGCTGCTGCTCCAGGCTCCCTTCTCTAGGTTCTTTTGATTTTTCACCAGTTGTGCTAACTTCATGGCCTCTCCCAAGTCACGAGGCATCATGACTTTCACTGCAGCCCTGATCTCTGCCTTAAGCCCTTTCATAAAGTTTCCCTCAAATGAGGTCTCTGATAATCGCTCCACCTAATTGGTTAGATGCTCGAACTTTTCACGATAGTCTGCCACTGATCCGTCCTGCACCAGTGCAAAAAACTGCTCATAGAAGTCCCCTCTATCAGTTTGGAAATATTCTAATAAAAAATCTTTGAATGCTCTCCAACTCTGTATAGGTCTCCTTGGGTCCCTTTACTGGAATTACGATAATGCCTTCCCTTACAAGCATAGGCCTGCTGCTATTAGTTTCTCATCATCTGTCAACCCATTGACGACGAAGTACCTCTCTACCTTGTAGATCCATCCATAAGTGTCATCCCCTTCAAAAATTGGTATCTTCAGCTTCCTCACCTTTGTTTCTCCTTATTCCTCCATATTTTTCCCTCTCCCAAGTGTTTTGCTCTCCCCACGTCTCCCGATCTTCCCTTACATATTCATATTGAAACCCCTCTTTACTTTCTTCTCTCATTTCTCCAAAATCAGCACCCCTCCTTCCATAGTTTTCCTTCTCTCTCCCAACCAGCCCCCTTTACTCCTTGATCCCTATTTCCCCGTCTCTTTACATACCTTCGCCCCCTTTCTCCTCAATATTTTCTACATCATTTTTCCTCCTACGAAATCAAAATTTGTAGTTCTTCCTGTTGGTCTCTTTACCTCCGATGCCTCCGTTTGGATTTGATTTTCCAATGACTTCCTCACCATCAAATGAAGATCGAAAACTTTGTCTTCCACGGAGGAAATCTTGTCTTCTACAGAGGAGATTCAATCTTCCACTGTGACATTTATTTGGCTCATCTCTCCTTTTAAACATTCTTTTGATGCATTTACCTTCTTAGCCGCCATAAAAAAATTCTGATTTTTGCTCCAAAAATCAGCAAGGGTTTTTCCTCCAAATGGAATTTCACCGCTGAAATTTAAAAAAAAAATCAGCCCCCGATGGTCCCAAAACTTACTCTGATACTGATTTGATAGGAAATACTTGAGTTTGCAAGTAACTAATGAGAAATACTTGAGTTCGCAAGCAAATCTTACAATAATTGGTGAAAAGAATGTGAAAACTTCAAGATCTCCAATGAAAACAATTAAAAAACAGTAGATTGTATTATATGAATCAAATCAAAAGCAAGAGCAAGTAAAGATACAATTGATCCTCAATTCGAGTGGAGGATCGTTCTCTCGCAATCTCTAGACGATGAATCTAGAGACCAAAGCCACAAAGAGAATTCCATTAGTAAACAATAATCATGAATGCCCTAACCCTAACATCTCGTCCTCTTTAAATACACATATTCCTAATAAGAAGCCAATAAAAAGCTTCCTAAAATAAACCAAATTCAAAATAACTTCCCTATGCTTTAGCCGCCCCTTCCCTTTCTCTATTTTCCGCCCTAGGGGGGCCCACATGCTTGGGTGGCTTTCTAAGGAGGCAGCTTAGCTTGCCTCCTATAAACATGAATCGGCCCAGGTTGGGCTTATTTGGTCGGTTCAAGAAGAACTGTAACAGATTGTCTTTGTCTACAGGATGGTTTTTAGCGAGCTTAGGATCAACCGATTAAGAGTTAACTAGTCCTGACATAGTGGGGATTTGTTGTTGTTTATGGATTGCTGGTGCAGCTCTTTGCTCACTAGACTGATCAGTGATGTGCCGACGGCTGGAATAACTGTGAGAGTGTTGAGTTGCTTGTATTTCCACCTTCAAACCGAAATTCACAGTCGGAGAAAGTGACCGCACAGAATTTAATTCTAATTTATCTTGTAAGGTGTCTTTCAATCCACCGATATGCTGGGCCATCAATTGATTCTCCAACTCATTAAGATTATTCCGCGCGCTTAGGCCCTCAAGCTAGAATAGCATTGGCAAGCTTTGATAGGCGAGAGGTCACTCATAGATAGGCATTGACAGATAGCCAACAGTTGGGTTCCAGTGAATTCCATCGATCACCAACAAACCTCTGGCGGAGCGTTAAATCTTGCTTTGATGGGCTTCCCTCACCGCTCTTTAGATGTTTCAAGCCAATGGCTCTATGGTTCTCACCACCTGTTTAGCAATTACAAACTCCATTCATAGAGAATTAAGACTCCAAAAACAACCGTTGGAAGTACTATTTATAAATGTATCTGAAATATATTTTAAAAACTACAGAAATTGAAGAAAATCTTATATTATATTTAAAAATATTGGATTTAAGATTTTTAAATTATTACTTCTGAAAAGATAGGTTTCTAAGATTTTTGAAGTTGATAGTTTGAAAATAGAAGTTTTACACATTCACAAAAATTGTAACCAACGTCCCCCTTGAAATTAAATGGATTCCTGTTATTATTATTATTATTTTGGTAAAAATGATATGGAAATTGAATCTAACGATATCAGTCTCTTTTGCATCTATTGTTTGCAATTTTCAGATTCTTTGAGATTTACATCAGCTGTTTCAATTTTCGTTGCGGTGGTATTTGTTTTCATTAGCTCGGGAATGGCTGTCTATGCTCTTTTCCACGGCACCATACAAACACCTAGATTGCTTCCAGATTTCACCCACCAATCCTTATTCGAGCTTTTTACTGCCGTCCCTGTCATTGTTGTAGCCTTCACTTTCCATTTCAACGGTAATTAACGGTATTCTCCTATTCAAGTTGTTCAATTTCTTATTTTTTAGATACACTTTCAAACTCTTGAATGCTTGCAGTACACCCAATCCGAGCAGAGATGAGTTGTGTCTCAGACATGACTCCGGCTGTGCGCGCCTCCCTTCTACTCTGCTCAGTCATCTATGCCACTGTTGGGCTCTCTGGCTACCTCCTTTTTGGTGACGAGACGATGTCTGACGTGCTTTCCAACTTTGACCGGAGCTTGACAAGCCCACTTCTTGACGATGTGGTCAGGCTGAGCTATGCTCTCCACCTGGTCTTTGTGTTTCCTTTGATCTTCTACTCACTTCGACTCAACATAGATGAACTTCTCTTCCCCAAGGCACGGCTGCTGCTGGTGGCCGACACTAGCCGGTTCTTAGGTCTCACTGCTCTGCTGCTGGCTTTTATTTACTTGGCAGCGATGGTCATTCCCAACATATGGGTGGTGTTTCAATTTGCCGGGTCAACCACGGCGGTCTGCCTCTCCTTGATCTTCCCGGGAGCCATTGTTTTAAGGTAATGAATGGACTTTTACTTTTTGTTTGCAATCGAATTACGTATCAAATAAGGTAGGTTATAGTTCTCCACTGGACGTTTTTTTGTACGTTCTCGTTTAAAAATGGTAAATTCATTCTTTACTGTTTGGTAGAGACACTTACCTCAAACAACGTTCCCAATAATACTATTTTGGATGAAAAATAGACTGCCATTCCCCTCCTGCTTTTTCCTAAACTTCATTTTATTAAGCTCCATTTTTCTAAACATCTATTTCTAAAACTCTGTTTTAGATAAGCACCAACTCAATCAAACAAGGCCTCAGTTGATGGTTGAACTAATAATTTGTTATATTGATAAGAAATTGACCGATTAAATTATTGGGTGATGACATTAAAGCTGTGTACCCAAGAAATGAATGGATAATTACCTTACACAACAAGTCATTTTCCGGTTGGCGGTCACTACTTGTTAGCTTTGCGTTACAAAGTTGTGTGGACGTACCCTATGGTCCCTGACCCTCCTATATTGGTGTTGATTAATCAATTTTAGGCTTATAATCAATTACAGATAAATCTTCTTGTGTACTCGATATCCTTTCCTGCCAGAAATGCAATGTGAATTGGGAATCAAACATTGCATTCTTATGTGAATTTAGAATTTTCAAATTAATTGGAAAAGGGAGGGAAGGGGTCGGCCAAAGAGAGAGAATTAGGGGTGGCGGCCAAAGGAGGAGGGGGAGAGATGTCCACATCTGATGTATGTGGCCCAATGCATTAAATGAGATTTTATATTAAATCTGAAATTGATTTCAGATTTAGTGTAATTAGGGGAAAGCTTCCAAAAATAGATTTGTTAATTCGGAAAGTATTTTAAATTCAAATATCTTTGAATTCAAATTAGAAACTTTCCAAGTTAACAACTAAGTAATTTAGGAAGGTAATAAAGAGGCTATTTTGAATTCAAAATGCAAAATTTTTGGAGGGAAGAGACTAGGGGTGAGGTGGTCGGACGGCTATGGAGGTGGAGGGGTTGATGTTTGATCCAAAAGAAAAGTTAGCCAAAATCAAACGAAATAAAACAAAAACAGATGGTGAATGGTGGAGACTAGAGATGAGAGGACGGAGAACAAAGAAAAAATAAAATAAAAACTATACAAACCACCAGCCCAGACTCTTCCTGCGGTTGGTGGGTACTACGTTGCCCTCCCCGAGGGACTTCAATCCACGAGCCCGGATCCATCTTGCTGCTGGTGGAAACAAGGTTGTCCTCACATAGGACTTTTCCTCTCCATAACTCACACAGAGATCAAGACAAAGGCTCTAATTCTTTTTTTATTAATAATCCATCAATACATTACCCAAGCAAGGGTCTCTCTATATAGGCCTAAGAAACTAAAACAAAACACATATGCCCATTGGGCTTACATAGGACGACCCTTTTAAGTGAGGGTAAAAACGAAAAATTCATAATAAAAATAAAAACTATAACTAAAATTTAAGATAACGTGGAACTATGACGACCGTCGATCTTCAGCTCCTCGGATAGGCATGGACGATTGGATGTCCATATCATTCTCCCAAGCTGGAAAAGAGCTCGACTCTGTCGACTTCACGTCCCGAGTGAGCAACCATGCTTTGATACCAAACTGATGTAGAACGAAGGGGGGGCGGGGGTCATGTGAATTTAGAATTTTCAAATTAATTGGAAAAGGGAGAGAAGGGGTCGGCCAAAGAGAGGGAAAGGGGATAGGTTGTCCAGGTTCAATGAATGTGGAATTTGAATTGATTCCCAATTAATTGTTGATTTATCCAATCCTTGATTGAAGGAAGGCTTTCCAAAATTAAGCTAAATGATTTAGGAAAGAATTTAAAATTTTAAATTCGTTTGAATTCGAAAACTTACCAAAATTAGAACAACTTAATTTAGGAAAGAATAAATTTTAGAGGTAAAGAGATTTGATTGAGAGCATTAATTGAGGGGAATTAATTAATATGTGAGGGAAAAGGGGGGCGACCAAAGGAGGAGGGGGAGAGATGTCCACATACAATGTATGTGGCCCAAGACATTAAATGAGATTTGATATTAAATCTGAAATTGATTCCTGATTTAGAGGAATTAGAGGGAAGGGGTCGGCCAAAGAGAGAGAATTAGGGGTGGGGGGCAAAGGAGGAGGGGGAGAGATGTCCACATCCGATGTATGTGGCCCAATGCATTAAATGAGATTTGATATTATATCTGAACTTGATTTCAGATTTAGAGTAATTAGGGGAAGGCTTTCAAAAATAGATTTGTTAATTCGGAAAGGATTTGAAATTCAAATATCTTTGAATTCAAATTAGGAACTTTCCAAGTTAACAATAGAGTAATTTAGGAAGGTAATAAAGCGGCTATTTTGAATTCAAAATGCAAAATTTGTGGAGGAGGGAAGAGGCTAGGGGTGAGGTGGTCGGCCGGCTATGGAGGTAGAGGGGTTGATGTTTGATCCAAAAGAAAAGTTAGCCAAAATCAAACGAAATAAAACAAAAACGGATGGTGAATGGTGGAGACAAGAGATGAGAGGACGGAGAACAAAACAAAAATAAAATAAAAATGATACAAACCACGAGCCCAGACTCTTCCTGCGGCTAATGGGTACTACATTGCCCTCCCCGAGGAACTTCACCACGAGCTTGGATCCATCCTGCGGCTGGTGAAAATAAGGTTGTCCTCCTCTAGGACTTTTCCTCTCTAGAACTCACATAGAGATCAAGACAAAGGCTCCAATTCTTTTTTTATTAATAATCTATCATTACATTACACAAGGGTCTCTATATATAGGCCTAAGAAACTAAAACAAGACATATATGCCCCTAGGGCTTACATAGGACGTGGTAAAAATGGAAAATTCATAATAAAAATAAAAATTATAAATAAAATTTAAGATAACGTGGAACGATGATGACCGTCGATCTTCAGCTCCTCCTCGGATATGCATGGATGGTTGGATGTCCGCATCATATCTACCCTTATTTAATGTTTGGTTTTGCATCTTTTTGAGCTTGAGTCTGGTATTCTTACTCTTCAGACTAGCTTAGTTGCTCAAAAACAAACCATCAAAAAGAGAAAAAAAATCCTCATCTTTCCAATCCATTTTAACCAATATGATTCTTAAATTTAGACTAAATAGGATTCACCAAGTTGTTTTCATTATTTCCAAAACCAAAGACCAGATTGAACTGAGTTTGACTTCTCTGTAAATCGGAGTAAAATATGAATAAATTTTGATTTATAATGTAGTTGAGGCAGATGTATTATTATATTATTCTTAATAGACCTTGAAAATATTATTGACTCTGTAACTAGTCAGATCTGAACAATGTAGTTCAACATAGGCTAATTTGATCTATTTGTTTCCTTTAAATTATTAGTCCAAGTCTTTTAAAGTGTAGTAAGACCTAATGATGGTATTAAATGACGATTAATATTGCATAATTTTGTTTTGTGAGAAATATTTTTCTCAATTTTTGAAGTCAATATGTTTTCAACGCCATCTCCATCAGATATGCTATATAAAAAGATGTGAGTTGCCCACAACCTCGTCATGTATCACTCTTCCTACTTAACATACCATATAAGCTATTGAGTTGCTTTGTGTCGAAGTGTGAAATGGACTCCAATATACTTGCATGAGCTAAAACTGGAATATCGGGAATTAGGCTTTAGATGCCATCAAGATTTGATTTACATGTCCTCAAGATTTGGATGAGAAAAGTGGAGGATTGAGTTAGGTTGTCGACAACTAACGTAAAATTTGTCAAACACATGATTTGAATTCTTTAATACATCATGTTAATACTAAGACATTTCCTGAAAGCGGCACTCTGTATGTATTGAATAAAAATGTGCAAAGGTCGTTGCATCAGTGTCAAGTACAGTGTTAAATAAGGGCTTTCACATCATGAACTGAGGTTGACGAAAAATCTAGTCTATAAAATTAGAATTATTATAGTAACTTGGAATATAGATACTCTTACAAGCAAGCTAATAGAATTAATAGATATTATGATTTCTTTTTGAAGAATAAATATTTTTTTGTATTCAAGAAACTAAATTGGTTACGAAAAGGCATATGATATTAATAGTTTATGATATAAAATTTAGTATTCAGGCAGAAGTTGTACAAAAAATAATGCATATGATATTATAAATAAAAGTTTGAAGGATTATGTTATATAAATTAATAGAATTAGTGATAAAATTATAGTTTTAAATATTATTGTTGATGTTTAGATTATTAATATTTTAAGTACTTATAATCCTCAAGTAGGTTTGAATATGTGTTGAAAAATAAAATTCTAAAATGACTTAGATAATACAAAGGATTTCTCTTAAAGAAAAAAAATTTATTAGAGGATATTTAAATAAAAATGTTTGTAGAGTGGTAAAAGATTTTAAAATCATTCATCGTGGCTATGAGTTTGGAGCGACTAAAGAAGGTAGTAGTATCATATTAGATTTTGTTCTAACTTGATTTTGTAATCTCTAGTATTTTATTTAAGTAAAAAGAGGAGCATGTCATTACTTATAAAAATCAACATAGCAAAACTCAGATTGATTATTTTTTTAAATAAATCGTTTAAATTGCAAAGATTATAAAGTGATTTCGTGTGAGTTTATATATCCATCATTGTTTATTAGTTTTGAACTTTAAGATAGGGTGAAAAATAAAAAGCAAAATAAAATATTTTCTAAGGATTAATTGTGGATAATTAAAGAATGCTAATAAAAGCTTTATAAAAGTAAGATTTAAGATATTAAGATTTAGGTTGTTATGTGGAAGTTAATATTATGGGGAAAAATAGCTAGTGATATTATAGATTTTGCAAAGTATATTTTTGAAGAATCAAAATGAAAACCTCTTAATAGTAAAAATAGTTTGTGGTAGAATCAAATTGTGTAAAAAAGATAAAAAATAAAAAGTTATTATAAAAAGTAGTTTAGAAGTAAACTAAAAAATTTGGAAAAAATAGAGGAACTTG